CATGCACCGAGCGCGAGCGGGGCCGCAGCCTCCGGACCGGACCGGACCGGACTACAGCTCCCGGCATGCACCGAGCGCGAGCCCCGGACCCTGCGCTGCGCTGCGCTCCCGGGCGGCTCCGGCCCCAGCTCGCCGCGCCCGGCCCGGGAATGGCTGCGGGGCTCCGCGCCCGGGTAGGGCCCTGGCTGCGCTGGCGCCCGCGGGGCAATGTGGCTCCTTGGAGAAGCCGCAGCCCGGGGGGGACCCGCCGCCGCAGACCCGCTCCCGGGCCGGGCAGCCCGAGCTCGAGCAGAGCCGCCCTGCGGGAGCCCCCCCCCCCCGTGCTGCGTGTCCCGGGCTCTGCGGGGATCGGGGCCCCCGAGAGCTCGGGGCAGATGTAACTCGAGCCCCAAGGCGCGGGGTGAGCGAAGGCAGCAGACAGCCGGGAGCCAGGCTGGGCAGGGCGACCGCTGGGCAGTGCCAGGGACTGGGCAGTGCCAGGGGCTGGGCAGTGCCGGGGGCTGCGCAGGGCGACCGCTCGGCTGTATCTGGCTGGGGGCTGGGCAGTGCCGGGGGCTGCGCAGGGCGACCGCTCGGCTGTATCTGGCCGGGGGCTGGGCAGTGCCAGGGGCTGGGCAGTGCCAGGGGCTGCGCAGGGCGACCGCTCGGCTGCGTCGGGCTGGGGGCTGACAGTGCCACTAACGTCCCGGGAGGCAGAATAACCAGAAGACGCTTTGCAAGTGGGTGTCACTTTGTGCCCATTTCTTTCCTCCTGTATCTAGCGTGCTCAATGTCTCCCAGCCGCCACCCCAGGCCCTGCCCAGTGCTCCCTGCCAGGAACCTGCTCCCTCGCTCCTCCTTCCCTGGGATGGCCCCCAGCTGCCCTCACTGCCCCTCCCCAGACCTTCCCTTCCCACCTGCCAGGCCTGGGCTCTGGGCCTCGGATCCAGCAACATGGCCCATTCCCTAGGCCAGGCCGCTGGCCTCTCCCTGGCTCACAGGCCCCTGGCTTCTCCTGCATGCGCGAGTCCTCTCTTCCCTCCCTGGAGATGGAAGGGAACAGCCCCTGCCGGGCACCAGCCCTTCCTCTCCCGCGGCTCCTCTCTGCGCAGCTCTCCCAGGCCCTGCCCAGCCCAGTGTGGCCTGGGGAGCGGGAGTGGGGAATGGGGTAAGAGCCCTTTCCCCTCTAGGGAGCCCTGGCTCTGAGCTCGCCCCAGGGTGGGGGGAATGGCTGGGTCAGGGGGGCAGGGGATGGGGCCTTTTCCCTCTAACGGGTCCTGGATCCTGTGGGCCTCCTTTGGCTAGAGACCAAAAATCGTTGCTGTTTGATGAGCGGTGTCAGTATTTTCAGTGCCTCAGAGATTTAGATCCCATTGGAGCCGGCGGTGCTGAGACGGGGCCGCGTGTTGTTGCAGGTGCCGGTGTCGTTCGAGGACGTGGCGGTCTATTTCTCCCCGGAGGAGTGGGCGGCGTTAGCGGAATGGCAGAGGGAGCTGTACTGGGACGTGATAAAGGAGAATTACGCGCTGGTGGCCTCGCTGGGTGAGGCTCCTTTCTTTGCAGCCGCACACATGAAAGTCCCTGACTCGGAGAGACCAGACCCAACGTCAGTGAGCCCAGCAGCGACGCCATTCCTCTGGGATCCCCGGTGATGCTGTCGCTGCCAGGCCAGGGCGAGGAGCACTGGGGGAGGGGTTTTCCCGCGGGCTCTTAGTGGGGCATCTTCCCTGAGAGAGGCAATCACAGGGGCTAGTCGGCGGGGGAAGACGTTCTCTAGGCTGGTGCAGGACTGGCCCGGTCCTTGTCCTGGCAGAGCCCAGACTGGGGGCCTCGGCCCGGGGCTGTGGGAACAGCGCTAACCCAGCCAGGTCTGGTGCTGGGGTAATGGGGTCCCGCCAGGGCGTGGCCCAGAACCGCCAGCCCCAGAAATTCAGAAACCAGCAGGCAGACCCCATTTTGTCGCCCAATCACTTAGTTTTGTGAGATCTTTTTGAAGTTCTTCACAGTCTGCTTTGGGCAAGGGCAAGGTGCCTGGGAGATACGGGAACACGCACACAAGAAGGGGTTCCCTGGGCAGGAGAGAGCAAGACTGCGCCGTTAATAGCCCCGGGGCTTGGGGGCAAGAGAAATGGCGCCCCACTGTTGTCACAGAGATCCTTGGACCGTCGCGCGGCCGGTCGGGGGCTGCCAGGCAGCCTGTTCTGTAGGACGGAAGGGAACACCTGGCATGCCATCGCCCCGTGTGGTCCACGTCCCAGCCCTCGGTGGCATTCTCTTCCCCCAAACAGGCTCTGCAAGCGCTGCAGTGGAGATCGCCTGGAAGGCGGATAAAGATGAAGAGCCGCACGTCGGGGCTCCCCAGGGGAAGAGGGGGGGAGGAATCCCCCAGCCCCCCAGCACGGGTGAGTGATACCGAACTCACCCCTGAGCTGCTCTGCTGTGGAGTGGGGCGGCCTGGTAACTCCTCGGTGTGTCAGGCTCTGTGCCGGCGAGGAGTCGGGCACTCGAGCCGCTCGGACTGCTGCTGGGCATCGGCCTTGGGCTCCCTTGGCGGGAGGATGCTCTGTGTGAGCCAGGTGGCTGGGAGTTCGCAGACACCGCCCCAGTGCTGCTCCTGCGGGGTCTGGGGGAACGTGTGCTCTGGGTCAGGCGCTCTGTGTGCACTGCAAACGTGATGGGTTCAGTGCCCCGTTGGTCTGGGCCAGCCCGCCAGGGCACCTCCCAGTGGAGATGGGTGTGTGCCGTTCGGTCACAGCCTTGCTGCCCTGTCGGACCCAGCCGGGCTTCTGGAGTCTCGGGAGCCGCTGGGCCTGAAGCGCTGTTCCCAGCTCCCCAGGGCCACTTCCCTCGGCCACGGCCACCGGCCCGGGTCTCCGTGGTCTCAGGGCCAGCTACAGCAAAGCTGCCTGTGACCCCCCCATGGGACGTCAGTAGTGGTGGAGGATGAGGCGGCAAAGCCCTGGGGCCCTGTGCTCTGCTCCGGCTGGCTGGGCACTCCCAGGGGGAGCTGAAGGGGCTGCGTCGGGGGGGACCCGGTGAGCTCAGAGGTGCCTGTTCTCTGCCGACGTCCCCGGCCCACCTGCAGCTGGATTCCAGCCCAGCGGGAGAGTCTCACTCGGGGCCCTCCAGCGGCTTCTGTTTTGTCTCTGCCCCAGCAGGCGGGACCTGCCTGGCGTGTGACTGCACGTGGGCTGTGAGTTAAGCCCACCCCCCCTTACAGCACCCCCCTTGTCCCAGGCTGGGTCACTGCTGCTGTGTGGGAGGGGTGAGTCCTGGCAGCTGAGCGAGCAGCCCTGGTCCGGCTGCGGGTTTGCCTCCCCTCAGTCCCCTGTGACCCCACTTGGTTAGGTCTGGCCTTTGTGTGACCTGTGGATTAACTAACATACTAGCCAGGCCTGGATCAGCACACAGCTCTGCCGATGCCCCTCACTCCCGACCTGCAGCCCCCTGCTGTTCCGGACCTGCCCCACCCCCAGCTCCGCCAGTGCCCCTCACTCTGGACCCATAGCCCCCTGCTAGCCCAGCCCTGGGCTTCCCCCCAGCTCTGCTGACACCCCCTCTCCCAACCCGCAGCCCCCACTATTCCAGGCTTGGTGTCGCTCAGCCCCGGCCTGGGGCTCCCTGTTCTGTTGCTGGCTGTGTTGGGGGGGGCTTTTCGCACCCTTCAGCAGTGGGACAGTTGTGCACCTGGGGAGCCCGGACTCCGCAGCCCCTTACCGCGTGGCATGAGGTGGGCTGGATGCACCTGGCCCTTCCCTGTCCTCTGCGAGCGGTGTTACCACGCAGAGAGCTCACGCCTTCGCTCCGTCCGGGTGGCCTCTCCCGCGTGCTCGGATAACGCGGTGCCGTTCTCTGCCCCACCCAGGCTCCGACGACGCCCGGTCGGACGGTTGGGTTGCCGCGAGTCGCCGAGCCGGGCCGTGTGTCTGGGATGGTCGGTTTGTCTGGGCTCCTCGGTTCTCCAGGGTCCTCCTGCACCGGGGACAGGTGTGCGAGACGCAGAGCTCCCTGCGACCGGCGCAGGTAGGGAGCGGGGGTTGGGTGGAGGGTGCCTGGGACAGATGTGCCAGGACTGGATGATGCTCCCGGCAGTGCCTTGGGCTGATGGCTCCAAGGGCTCCCCCACCCCACGAGCATCCTAACTGTTGCCTTGGAAACGCAGGCAGAGCCAAGTTCCAGGCCGGGGTCTGGCTGCCTCGGTTCCCCGTCCCAGCGGCTGGCTCATTCTGCCATGCAGGGCAGCCTGTCGCGAGACTGGCCAGGGGATCTGCTGTCGGCTTGAGTGCAGGGGAGGAAGAGGCCAGTGCCATGAAACCGTCTGGCTCCAGCGTCCCTGCGCCGCTCCCATGGCTGCCCTCCTTCCCAGGGGCCTTTCCCTCCCGAGGTCCCAGGGCCAACTCCGAGACGGGGGATGGGGAACGGAGCCGGGCCCTCCTGGCTGCCTCCCTGGGTGGGTGGTGACGTTGTAGGGCCTGGGCGTGGCTATTCAGGAGGTGCTGTGGGGGGCGGCTTGTGTTTCAGATGGCGTTCGAGGACGTGGCGGTCTGTTTCTCCCCGGAGGAGTGGGCGGCGTTGGCGGAATGGCAGAGGGAGCTTTACTGGGCCGTGATGAGGGAGAATTTCGAGCTGGTGGCCTCGCTGGGTGAGGCTCCCTGTCCATCTCTTTAGCAGCAGCACAAATAGCCAGTTACCCCCGTCCTGCCCCAAACCCCAAAGTCCTGGTAGGGGACCCGTGACTGAGCGAAGGGCCCTGCTGCCCACCGCTGGGACAGCCGGTCCTCCCCTCCCACCCCCTGCAGGGCAGCAGGACTCAGCAGCGTCCATCAGCCCCCAGGTTTGGGCACCACTCCAAGCTCCCCCCACCGCCCCGTCTCTGGCTGGGCCTGGCCACCTCCAGCGCTCCCTCGTAGAGTCCGGCTCGCCGCTTGGCGTGGCCTGGCCTCCCTGCTTGGCGACCGTCACCATCCATAGGCCCCGGGATCCATGATCAGGTTGAAAGGTTCTGCCCTGGCAGAGACAGCGACCTCCTCCTCCCCTGCGCTTCTTGGGTGTTCCCCGCCAGGAGTGACCGACCCTTGGGCCAGGCGCGTCTTGTCACGGTTCCCCAGGGACCCCAGGGAACTCCTGCGCCCGGTCGCTAAATGCCAGGTAGTGCCTGTTCCACCTCCCATTGTGGCCTGAGCATGGGGACAGAGCCGGGACCTTGGTTCACCAGCTTTGTCGTTCCAATGCCTCCGGGGGCTACGTTGGTGCCCAGTCAGTTTGCTCCTGGACGTTAGCACGGCTGCATGGGGGGACCTGGCCTGGGAGCAGCCCTAGAGAAACGTACGCTCCGCGGGCTGGGGCTCTGAGCAGCTCGGGGGGTCGATGCCTGGGTCCCAGACTGCACCTCTAGCCAAACCCCCAGCTGTCCATGGGCCCTGACCTCGGCTCCCAGAGAGACCCAGGCACCGGCTCTGCCCGCCCTGTGGTACCCGGCGGCTGTAGCGAGCCCTGCAGGCGTGATCTTGCCCTGCCTCCGCCTCGCCAGGACACGGGCTGAGGGGCTGTTTCCGGACATCCTGCTCTGCGTGTCTGAGGCCTGACAAGTCTCAACGCCCCTCATGCCTGTGACTCCCCTCCATGCACAGGCTCTGCGGACCCCAAGCCAGAGAGCAGCTGTGAAATGGAGCGAGGGGAAGAGCTCCAGCAGGGGCAGGACAGAGAGATTCCTGAGGCACCCAGC